TGGAAGGTGAACCGGCTCCAACCGGAGGCTAACTTTCTCCCAGCCCTGCAATTCGAGTCCCCACCTGTCCTCAGTTTTATCCCAAATGGGGCCCATGACCTTTGTGTCCCAGCCACAGTGAGGCGTTTCTCTTCCACCAGTAAACACATTTTGCCTCTTCAGCAAAATAAGATAAGGCTGCTGGTTTAAGCAAGTTTTGATCTAGCAGGAGAACCAGACAAGTAAATGGACATGCCATCCCATTGGGCTTGGGGAGGCAGGATAGTGTTGTGGTTCAGGCTGTGGCCGCTGACAGACCTGGGCTCAAATTCTGCTGCTTCTGGCTGTGTGATCTTCCATAAGTTCCTTTTGCTCTGAGCCTCTGTTTTCTCCTCTGTAAAGTGGAGGAAATCATTCCTATCTCAGAATCGTTATGAGGATGAAATGGGATTTTGGATGTAAAATGCTTAACCTGATAATTGCTAAACAGAAAGTGCTTATTAACTGGTGGTGGTGGCTATGATTCTACAAAGAGTTTTGAGGCTTCAGCCTCTGCCTTCTCCCCAGCCCGGTCCCTCCTCCTAAGCAGGGAGACCCAAGAATCTGTAACTTCTGGTCCAACCCCTCATGGCCCCAGAGCTCTCCTGGGTCTCCTGACCGTCTGTCTCTCCAGACAGCACCCAAGAAAACCTCATTTGGCTCGCTGAAGGATGAAGACCGGATTTTCACCAATCTGTATGGCCGCCATGACTGGAGGTGAGACAGTGCCCCTAGCCTGGTGGGTCCTGGAGCAGGGCCTCCTCTTCACTGCCTTCTCCACTCTGTCAAGGCTGAAAGGTGCCCAGAGTCGAGGTGACTGGTACAAGACAAAGGAGATCCTGCTGAAGGGGCCTGACTGGATCCTGGGTGAGATCAAGACATCAGGTTTGCGGGGCCGTGGAGGTGCTGGCTTCCCCACTGGCCTCAAGTGGAGCTTCATGAATAAGCCTTCAGATGGCAGGTGAGTGTAGGGAGACAGAGATGTGGTTGCAGGAGAGACTTTGTGGGTGGCTATTGCTTGCCTGGGCCTTTGGGCTGTTTCCTTAGAAACTCAGCATGCCCCATACTAGCCAGCTGCCAAAAAAAAAAAAAAAAGAAAGAAAGAAACTCAGTATGAATGAAACGGGAAAATGTTCCCAGACAAGTGAGTGGGACTAATAGCTCTGTCTGGACTTCCTCAGGGGAGACTTGAGGTGTAGCAGAATCAACACAAGCTTTTGACTCAGGCAGACGTAGTTGTTGAAATCCTGGCTTTGCCTTCTACTGATTGTAGAGCTTTGGGCGGTCTCCCAGCTTTCTTGAGCTGTAGGTGTCTTTTTTTGTAACTGGGTATAATGATACCATACAGGGATTAAAGAAGTAATGTTTCTATAGCTTTTGTCCAATATGTTTGTTGGCACACAGAAAGCAAATAATAAAAGTCAGTTGCTTTGCTTCCTTTTTGGCCCCAGAGAGGTGTTGGAGGTTGAGGAAGGTTCTTTGTGACCAAGAGCAGAATTTGTCTTAAAGGAAAGCACAGGGAAAGCCGTTTAGACTGAACAGAACAAAGACCTTTCTTGTAGTCATAGCTGCCCAAAGATGGAATAGGCAGTGAGCTCCCTGTCATTGGTGGTTAGAAAGCAGAGACCCTGGGGACATGTTGGGAGGGCAGAGAGGGATTGGTTGTTGGAGGAGACATCTTGGAGGCCTCCCTGAGTGGAGCGGGAGTGGCGTGTAGTTGAGGACCCAGTCCTGGTGGCTCTGTAGTCTGACAGACCTGTGGGCCCCCACAGACCCAAGTATTTGGTGGTGAATGCGGATGAGGGGGAGCCGGGCACCTGCAAGGACCGGGAGATCATGCGCCACGATCCTCACAAGCTGGTGGAAGGCTGCCTGGTGGGGGGCCGGGCCATGGGCGCCCGGGCTGCCTACATCTACATCCGCGGGGAATTCTACAACGAGGCCTCCAATCTGCAGGTGGGCAGGGAAGGCATGAACAGATGAGAAGGTGTCCTCACGTGCCCCTTACCCAGCATGGTTGTTCTTCGATGTTGGCGCCTGGTCTGGCAGGGGTTGAACTGGAAGAGTGGTGTCCACTCCTGCAGGCATCCCAAATGGGGCTTGGCCCCCACAGCCTCTTTCTCTGGGCTCTTCCTTTGTGCCTCAGAGCCTTCACTTGGGAGCCCTTCAAGGGATCCAGGACTCCTGAAGTTACAGACTGACTCCTGGGGTGGGGGATGCTGGGGAACTCACACCCTTGTCCTGCAGGTGGCCATCCGAGAGGCCTACGAGGCAGGCCTGATTGGGAAGAACGCCTGTGGCTCTGACTATGATTTTGATGTGTTCGTGGTGCGTGGGGCTGGGGCCTACATCTGTGGGGAGGAGACAGCACTCATCGAGTCCATTGAGGGCAAGCAGGGCAAGCCCCGCCTGAAGCCACCCTTTCCCGCAGATGTGGGTAAGACCTGGCCTGAGCTGGGCCTTATCTTGGCAGTGTCCTGTGGAACCCAGGAGCAAGTCCCCTCTGGATTATTCTTAGGGCATTTCTGAGTGCCTTCTGGGCTGGGTCAGATGCAGAGAGTAGGTGGTAACAGCTTACAGGCTCCACTAGTGCCCCTTGCAGTCCCTCATCCTGCCTCAGCCCCGTGTTGGATACCAAGCCCCTTTAAGCTTGTCTGTAGCTCTGCCCCCGCAGTACCTGTTCTGGGATCTGGGGATGTGGTGGTGAATGAGGCAATACAGCTCCTCTGAAGTTTGGGGTCGAGTGGGGGACAAGATGATAAGGGAGGAGAGAGCAAGGGCTCTCTGCCACAGGAGGAGGATCCTGGGACAGACCCCACTGCCAAGAAGCCTGTCCCCATCCCTTAGCAGCCACCCGTCTGTCTTCCCTTCTCCCTGAAGGAGTGTTTGGCTGCCCCACAACTGTGGCCAATGTGGAGACGGTGGCTGTGTCCCCCACCATCTGCCGCCGTGGGGGAACCTGGTTTGCCAGCTTCGGCCGTGAGCGCAACTCAGGTACCAAACTGTTCAACATCTCTGGCCATGTCAACCACCCTTGCACTGTGGAGGAAGAGATGTCTGTGCCGCTGAAGGAACTGATTGAGAAGCATGCAGGTGAGGCCTGGGCCAGCCAGGTGGGGGCAGCCAGGTAGGGGCCAGCCAGGTCGGGGCAGAGTGGGCAGGGCATCCATGAACAGAGCCCGGGGGGGGGGGGGGGCTTCAGGAGACAGGGCTGGGTCCAGGAGCTGACAGAGGTCCTGAGCTCAGGACTAGGCAGGTGTGCTGGCCCCAGCTCTGACCATCCATCTTTTCGGGGACTGACTTGGGGCCCCAGGGGGTGTCACAGGTGGCTGGAACAACCTCCTTGCTGTGATCCCTGGCGGCTCGTCCACCCCGCTGATCCCTAAGTCCGTGTGTGAGACGGTGCTGATGGACTTCGATGCACTGGTGCAGGCACAGACAGGCCTGGGCACGGCTGCGGTGATCGTCATGGACCGCTCGGTAAGACCATCCCTTCCTTATGCCAGCCTGGTTGCTGTCTCCCTCCCTGAGCCTCTGAAAACCCTTTTGCCATCACTCAGGGTCCAGTTCCTGCAGCCTGAGATACAAGGGAGGTGGGAGAGGAGGGGACAAGGCTGCTCTGGAGGAGAATGCCCCTGGAGTTGGCAGCAGGGGTACCCAGGGAGGCTGCAGGAGAACAGAATGCAGGGTGGCTTGGGAAGAGCTGCTGGAATCGGGGGAGGGGGTACTGCTGGAGGACAGAGGCCCTGGTTTCTATCTGGCCTTGGGTGCCTGCTCACTGTCCTTTGTCACCCAGACAGACGTTGTGAAAGCCATCGCCCGCCTCATTGAGTTCTACAAGCACGAGAGCTGTGGCCAGTGCACCCCGTGCCGCGAGGGTGAGCACCCTGGTCAGGTTGGGGGTTTGCTTGCCGGCTTCACTTATCCTCCACCCTCCCACCCCAACCCCAGCGTGGCCTGCACCCCTCAAGCAGTGTCCCACACCCTGGCTTGGGGAGACCAACAGGCCCCTCTCTTGCTGCTGTGGCTGCAGGTGTGGACTGGATGAACAAGGTGATGGCCCGCTTCGTGAGGGGAGATGCCCGGCCAGCAGAGATCGACTCCCTGTGGGAGATCAGCAAGCAGATAGAGGGCCACACCATCTGTGCTCTGGGCGATGGGGCCGCCTGGCCTGTGCAGGTGCTTACCGCCCTGCTGTGTAGCACAGGGGTGGGGGGAGGTGCTGAGAGCCCAGGGCATTAGGTGATTTTTGGATTCTGCTTAACACAGTTTCCCCGCTCATTGCCCACAGGGTCTGATCCGACACTTCCGGCCAGAGCTTGAGGAGCGGATGCAGCAGTTTGCCCAGCAGCGCCAGGCCCGGCAAGCTGCCTCATGAGCCCAATACCATGGCCTGGCGGCTCACATCCATCCATCTGGGATGCTGGACAATAAAGCAAGTGCTGTCCCCCACAGCTGCAGCTTCTCTGTGACTGCTCTGTACCTGCCACCCCTGGCCCGCTGCTCATGGAGGCCCATTGCCAGACATAGTCGTGTCATGAGTCCACACCTTGGCCTCCTGTGTGTCAGTAAGTCAGTCCTAGATAATCTTGAGTACCCATCCCTCAGTGTAGGAAGCGGTGGGAGTGGGGGACTGCGAGGGCTGATCCTGGGACCTTGCTGTGGTCCCTGTGGCCTGAGGTCCCTGGCCCAGCTCAGGCCTCTGGAGGGTGGGAGACGGGAGAATAGGGCCCAGTCTGCCCTGTGGGTGATGGGCAGGGAAGGATGTGGCCTATGGCCAGAGAAAGGACAGGCTCTGGTCTGGCTTAAAGGAGATGTTTATTTTGGCTTCAAGATTTGGGGTGGGGTGAATTTGAAAGGCAGGAAGAAAGGAAACACCCATTTGACTGGGGGCTGGGTACTCAGGCTCCTCCCAGCTCTGTGGGGACATCATGGGCAGCTGTAGGGGAGGGATGGCAAGTAGGGCCAGGCTGGCACCAGGACTAGTCGCTGAGCTGGGGGGGTGTGCCATCCAGTGGGTGCCACAGCTCCAGCTGACGGTCGCTGTGGCCCAAGCACTCACGCCAGTGCCGCAGGCGCTCCCCACTGGCACAGCTGTTCAGCTGCACCCCGCCTGCCGTGGGGAATGGGTCAGGAGCCATCAGGAGCCCATAGGGCTCCCACCCCAGTTCCCTGCATTCCCACTCACCGATGAAGTCATTGGCCGTGCCCAGGTCGTAGTCCCACACGGACACCAGCAGCGTCTTCTGGGCCAGATCCTCCCGCGGGCCTGCGTAGAAGAATTCCTGCCAGGAAAGGGTCAGAAAGGCAGGGAAGACGCAGCCTCAGGTGCTTCACAGCTTAAGAAACAGGCTCAGGCTGGGTAATGGCTCAGCAAGTCAAGACCAAGGCTGGCTGGGACCTGCCTGGCGCTGGCTTACCTCGTTGAACTCGGGATTCAGGGTCTTCTTTCGAACACTGGTTTTATATTTAGATTTCTTCCCCGAGTTTGGATGCAGGAAACTGATTGGGGAGAGTTAGTGGTTAGGTGTGGCTCTGGAGAGGTGAGGGACCCCCACCTTGCCCTTACTGCCCCCTGTGTGCCCCTGTTCACACTCACAGGCGGACGAAGGGGTCCGAATAGCCATTGGCATCCATGGGGGCCAGGTGGGCGCAGCGCAGCACACCCACCAGCAGGCCACCCTGCTGGGAGCTGTAACACAGTGACAGCAGGATGCGCCCACGTTCCTCCCCGGCCACCTCTGCCTCCACCTCCTGCAGGTATAGGCTGTGGTCAGCCCCCATCCAGCCCAAAGCCAACTCCCCACCCACCAGTGGCCGGGCCTCAGATATGAAAGCTCAAACTGGCTGCAAAGAATCAGGATCCAAAGGTTTAATTTCATGGTTTAATTTCCCAAAACAGCCACTCGCCCTGTGCCCTGGAAGGGACCTCCTGGGTCAGCTATATCCTCCAAGGCCTGAGGAGGGGAGGGGCTTGTTCAGAACATGTGACTGGTCAGTTCAGCATGTCCTTGTCATGGAGTGGAAGGGAACTAACTGATTGTCTCTGAGTGCCACAAACAAGTTGAAGTTTTCTAAGTGGCCTCCCATCAAGTGCCCATAACCACTCCCTGCAGGGCAAGCCTCACATCATGGAAGCAGCCTGAGAGGCCTTTCTCTATCCAAAGATAAACAGGGCTTTTCGACTCCAAAACCCACCCTCTTCGCCCCTCACAGCCCTGAGGACCAGATTCTGAATGTCCTTTGCCACACTCGGGCCCTACTGTTCCCAAGTGGACTCAGGAAGGGTGCCTAGGAACAATGTACTTTCTCTCCCACACTTAGTGTAGAATTCGATTTGCAGAAAGTCCAACCTTGCTTACAGTCAGTTCTCAGTAAAGTAGCAGCCACTCTGATCACCCACCAGGCACTGTGGCACTGTTGTGCATGGGGTCTTCGATGGAGTGGATGTCGCAGGGTGCTCAGAGATGTCCATTGGGCAAAGTGGCCTTACTACACCCCCTCGTTGAGGGCCTTACTACACCACCTCGTTAAGGGCCTTACTATGCCACCTTCTTGAGGGCCTTACTGGCCTGGGTTTAGCTAATTGGTGGCTGCGGCAACTTGTGACTCCACTAGAGGACAGGGCACCTGGCCCTTTGTTCTGAGAGGAGCCAAGCAGAGGGCCTGCGCTCAGCCTCGCAGGTGCCCCTCCCCTGCTGGGCCACAGGGTTTCTCCCCAGGTCTTTGGGGTTGAGGAAGGCCCTGCAGTCATGCTGACTGCCTCCTGACAAGAGCCTGCCTAGGACAACCAGCCCCAGGAGTGGCACCCACACGGACCCCAGGGGCAGACCTGGCAGCCAGGGAGCTCCACCCTGTCCTCTCTTTGACCCTGTCCAGTCCTCCCATCTTGGGCCATAGACAGCTACTGCTAGTTGCAGTCTCTGCCTCAAGGTTGCCTGGGTCTCTGCCCAGCTCTGCCCTTTGAGGGCTTTGCTTGCTTGTCCCAGTGCCCACAGCTTCTCTGGGCTGCCCTGCCTAGCAGCTGAGGGCTGGCTGCTCCCCGGGGCTACGAGGGCTCACAGAGTGCACGAGTGAGATGCCCACCTGTGCTCCTGCCTGACCCACTTCAGCCTGGGCCATCCCTGGCCTGCCCAACCTCTTCCCTGCTCAGTCCAGCTGTCCTACCCACCTCCTCATAGAGGGACATGCCGCGGGTTGTGTCCAGGCTCTTGGGCCTCTTAGTCTGAAAAAGCAGAGACCCAGTCACCTTGGCCAGTGATGTTTCCCAGGCCCCATCCCCACCCCCGCTCCTCTCCAGCTCCCCCCTCACAAGGTTCCGGGCTCTAGCCTCACCAGCCTCCGCTTCTCCAGACAGATGTCGAAGCTCCTGGCTCGGTTGGGCACCAGCTTTCTCAGGGGCACCCGGAGCTCCCCCAGGGGAGACGCCCGCCGCCGTCGCCGCAGCCGTGGGTCCTCACACACACACAACCTGGTGGTCACCCGGGTCAAACCTGGCCAGGCCAGCCCCAGCCCATCCTCCTGCCTTGCCCCCTGGTGTCCCTGGTCCTCACCGCAGGGTCTTGTGCCCAGCATCTTGGCGGGTGAAGCCATGATAGGTGAGTGTCTCCTCCCAGATAGGTCCTCTTGTGCCACGAACTGTGCGTGTCCGGAGCTGGCTGGCCTGGGGGCCAGCCAGGATGGGTCAGGGCCTCCCACAGTCCAGACAATTTCCCCTTGGCCCTGTGCCCTGCCTCCCTGATAGAGCCCCCAGTTGCACATCTCTGGGACTGGGACCCAGGTCATGGAGTGGGGAATCAATGCAGGGCCAAGGGAGGTACCCCAGTCTGGGCGTGTGGCCACAGGGCAGCAATAGGGATCTGGGGCTTGCCCTCACCTTGCTGGCCCCTGGCAGCAGATTGGCTTTGACATAGGTGTCCATGGAGCCTGAGGCAGGGGACTTGAGGCCCTGGGGACAGACAGTGGGTATGGGGTAGGCCTGTGGCCCAGCCCCCTGTCCCAGGGACCCTGCCCCCATTCTCACCTTGGCACAATGAGCCGTGCAGTGCAGGGCACTATTGTCCGCATCGAAAAGCAGCGTGAACTCGAGGGTGCCTAGGGCAGCTGCGGGCAGGCAGCAGGCAGGGTCAGTTCCTACCTCAGCTCCACCTGCCCCCCATGGTGCCACGCCTCCTGCCAGAGATGCTCCAGACCCTACCCTGGCTGGGCTGAGCTTTGGGAGCCCCCTCGTGCCCACCCCTACTCACTGCTGTCATCTGAGTCTCCCTCTGGCTGGCAGTCAGACTGTGGCTGGGGTGCCGAGGGGATGGTGGGGGCCACCGCGGGGTGCAGGTCCCGGGTGCACAGACCGGGCTCCGCAAAGGGGTAAAAGTGCGGGAAGTAGTCGGAGATGAGGTGGATGGGCCGGATGGGGCCCGGGCTCACGTCGATGGCCATGTGCTCCTGCATGCTCACCCGCTGTGGACGCCGCCCGCCTGCTGCCACCGTGCCTGCCATGGGGGCTCAGACATGGGGTGGGGACTCAGAGAAACCCCTGCAGGCCAGGGGGAATGCACACGGCCACTGAGGTGGGGTGAAGAGGCATCGCCGAGGCCACTGAGGGGTCCTGGGCAGCAGCCGGGACCTGAGGACAGAGCACAGGGTCAAGGGGGGCAGACGTGGGGGCTCCAGCCTGGGGGGCTGGGGCAGGGTCTGGGGGGTAGTAGCAGGTTCAGGAAGGGACCTGATGTGCCAGGAGTCAGCCCCGCTGGGTTCCTTACCACTCTGAGAGCTGCTCCACCAGGCTTGGCCCACTGCTGCTGGCACTGCTGATGGCACTGCTGCTGGGTGTGTGTCTGGGGCTGTGGAGCCCCACAATGACTGAGCTGACCCATGTGAGCAAGTGTGACCCTTGGGGCAGTGGGGAGGGGCTCAGAACCCAGCACCTCCCTTGTGTCACCCCCACAGGTCCCTTCCCTAGTGCTGAGGGCTCAGCTTCCCCACCTCCCTCTGACCCCCTTCACACGCTGTCAAGGCGAGTTATTTTTACCACTGTCATGTGGCCCTGCTCCCAGGTGAGGAGGCTGGAGGGCTAGAGGTGGCAAAAGGGGTGTGGGGCGTTGGAGTGGGAGAGGAGGGGGGGAGGTGAGAAGGACGGGGGTGTGAGGGCAGGCGGGGAGCGGGGGCACTGGGAGGAGGGCCCCGTGATGCAGGCTCCTTGCAGGAGCCAGCTCAAACTGAAAACATGAATCCGGTCACTTCAACACCCCTCTCCTCAACTCTGGCTTGGAATAAAATTCTAACCCATTGTGGAGGCATGTCCGTTGTCTCCTCAACCAAGAGATGTCCCCTCAGCACCTCACGGTGGCCCCCTGTGGTAGGCCCCCCCACCAGCCTCACCCCCCACAATCTGCTTTTGTTGTCTGTGCTTTTGGGGTCCTATTCAAGAAATCATTGTCCAAACCAATGTCTGGAGGAGCTTTTCCCGTCTTCTTAGTTGTTTTAAGTCTTTAACCCATTTTGAGCTGATGTTTGTTTATGGTGTGAACCCTCGTTGGTCATTGGGAGCCACGGTTTCCCTACTCTCAGTCCAGGGGGTTCACCCCCCTCCCCAGGCCTGTGCCCCAGGCCATCAATCAATATATTCTACATCCAGCAGGTGAGGTGACGGACTCAGGGAAGGACATGTGACCCAAGGCAGGAGGATGAAGTGCAATCCTGGGTGTCCGGCTGGGAAAAAGAAGCTGTTTTCTGTTGATGGGATGCAGGTGCCATGCCATTCTACAGCCGTTGCCCTCTCCTCACTTCTCATGCCCTGAGAGGGAGTCCAGCACAGTGAAAAGCACAGCGAGAGAAGAGAACCTCAGTCCCTGGATCCAGCCATCTCACCCTTCCTACTCGGGCAAAGTCAGCTGGTGGGTGGGGTTTTCTATCATTTGTCCGGGCTGATACTTACAAAGTGTTCCCATACCATCATGTCAAGGTCAGACCACCCATGCCCTCAACCCTCTCATATAACCCTGGTCTACATAATTGGTGTATAAATCCACTATTCTTTGTGATTAATTAACGTGCAATCATACTAT